GAGAGAAAGAAAGGGGAATTCCCCTTTGCCTTCCTCGGCCTCGCCGAGATCTCCTCCCATTAATGGCCGCCCGTCTGCGCCTCTTCCCTGCGTTTTGTCCATCCCCGTCGGCCCGGCGGGCTCCTCTGCCCAGCGAAGCTTTACAGTAGAGAGAGAAAGTTAGAGAGACGGAGAGAGAGAAAGAGAGAGGGGAGTAACGATCTGACTTATATGTGGGAGTGGTGAGGGTACGGAGGGAGGAAGACGACGACGGGGGCGGGGATCGGCCCCTACTTTATCTGTTCTCACAGCTATGGTCTGTTCGGTGGAGGCAGGGAAGGAGAGAAGATGATGACGAAATGATTTAGAAACGGGCTTCGGATACATTTTTCGGGCCTGGCCCATCACCCAACACACGATGTTATGATGGGCCGGAGTGCGCCTGTCCCGGCCGGGCCCGGGCCCTGTCTCAGAAAGGGTCGGCTCGCTGGCACCACTGACCTGCTGCTCCGATTGAGGGTTCGGGTGTCCTGACGCACGTGCCAACGACCTGTTGGGTGGCCACGTAGGCGGCTAATCCACGTGAGATTGCGGAGTATTTTAGGACACCGATTGCTCGAAAACGGCGGGAGGGACATTGACGCCGTTAGATGACGTCATCACTGCTGGGATATGCGGCTAAGGTTTCTGCGCCGTCACGGAGTTACCTACGGTGTGTACAACGGCCTGGTAGAAGAAACCAGGAGCCGCTTTAGAATGTTAGGAGCGGCAGCAGTCGGAGTGGTATTTATTCAAACGTCCGATCTTCCTCCCAACGCACACTCACTGAGCGATCTCTCTCTCTCTCTCTCTCGCTCTCTCGCTCTCTCGATAGCTCGGTCGCTCTTGCTCTGCGGAGTGGCACTTGCAGATTCGCTCGGCTGGACTCTGTGTAGCATTATGTGCTCGCGTCAAATGTCTCGTTGATTATGTGAGCATTAGCATTGTCTTGTTCTTGATCTGTGCTTCATTTGTTCGATGTTCACGGCTTTTTGGTTGGAATTCCTTTGTGGATTCGCGATTTGCCGTCGGGATTTTAATGTCTGCTGTTTGTCCGGCTGCTCTCTTTGTTTCTTTAATTACTCGTTCATTCGGAGAGTTATAGTGAGCAGGATTGATGCCATTGTCGGGAGCAAATGTTCCGTCCGTCAGTTTCTTTCTCATTGATTCTTCGAGAATTTCAGACGCTTGTTCACCGGCTCCGTTGTTACTATGGTTGAAGCTCGCAGGATTGCGGCTCAGAGTTGATTTTGGGGTACAAAGACTACTATTTAGAAAAAAAAAATGACGAATATTTGGTGGCCCCTCGTGTCCCAAAATGGAGAGGTTCTGGACGTTCCGCTCGAGTAGCTACATAAATAAGCTTTTGCGTAATGTATGGTTGTCAATAAATTTCACACTACATATCAGCAGAAATTTAAGTCTACTGTTGTTATTCCTCCAAGGGGAAATGACTATCATTCAATATCCGATTATTTTTCAGCATTTTCTCAGACGTCACTAAACACAAATGTTCCCAAAGCAGTAGGAAAGAGACTCTTCAGTAATGGGAATAAAGAAAACCACCCATTGTGGAAAGTTATGCTGCATCGGCTGATTCTGGGGGTGAATATTTCTTCATTTTTTTGCTAGTCCAAATGGCTGACGGGCAGCATTTAAGAGAGTTAAATCAGCTGATTTGGATGGCCTAAGGCGATCTCAATTCGAGTAGAACCTTGATCGGCCAATTCAGATTCATTATAGAGTGTTACAAACACATCCATGAGAAGAACTGTCATCATTTTTTTATGTAAAATATTTTGACGCATATTTTCAATTACAAGAGCTAATTAACGCCAATTTTTCGAGTCGCATGGCCAATCTGTTTATTGAGAAATGCTGACTGAGGATCTCATGAAAACTCTGTTGTTTTAACATTTTTTATTGAATTCTTTGACGGAAATCAAAATAGTCCACATAATAATTGAGTTATGGCGTCAGTTGTGATGGCGTGTAAACAAGTACGTGTTAGAGTTTCTAGCGATAAAGCAAACTTGACATCAATAAAAACTGGCATCAGCTATCGTCAGCTATCAGTGTGAGAGGTTGTGCAATTTTTCAGGTTTCTATATGAGTTTAATTAGGAACAGGAAGGTGCCATTTCATCTTACCAGTGTTACGTTTCCAGTTCAAAGAAAAAAGATAGTCATTGAGTTGTAGGGGCGAAGTCCACGAAAGAGAGTATTGAACTGACCATATATATAATGAGGAAACTATCATTGCAATGGTGGAGGATCGCTTGGGTTATTTTATTTCTAGGAGAGGAGAATGAACTTAAATCTTGGCAGAAAAAGATGTGCATTGGTTTCTTCTTGTTTTAACAACGCATACAGTTTTGCAGATGATGACAATTTGTCCACGTACTTGATTATGGTTCGATCAGACGTTCTCTGTTATTTTTCTCTAACACTGTTTTCGTCTTATGATTTATGTTGGTGGTGAATTTTTGTATTCTGACAATTAGAAAAAAATTATCTCACTAAATATAATGCGTGTAAGCATTTTCAACTCAACAATGGACTAGACCTTCTTTCTCCATTACTTTAAATTTCACTGGCGGGAAAGCACATCATTGGGTATTTTGTTATCATTTATTACTTATTCTATCCTCAACTTTTCAGATCTTGGTACTCGATGATTTTTTCAAGAATTTGGTTTTTTTGAAGCGGCTTGTGTGAGCCAGACGTGCTAGGAATGACCCCTCCTATCTCTGCTTTGCAACTCAGAGGTCCGCACACTTTGCTGAGACATGATCCCCTCATCAAAATTTTCTACTGTCCACTCTGCGGTTTGTGATGCAACTAGTGCCAGTTCATCGAGAAAAGCAAACAAGAAAACCACCTCGGAGCGAAAACCTGCAGAGAGCATCCTGTACTCCGGATCTTGCCAGACATTTTCTAGTGGCACAGACGAGGTTCCTAAAGTTCCTGATGGAGAACCCTCAGTCTTCAGGTCTGATGGCAAAACCGTTCATATGTTGAACGTTCAGGAGCCTGTTAAAGGAACTGGAGTGAAGAAGAAAAAGAAGAAGAGGAGGTTCGGCAAAAGGTCCTCTAATAGTGCTGAGACGTCTAGTCAATCTTGCCCCGAGGCAACAAATCTCTGCTGGACCACTGAACCACCACCTCTTCAGATTGATGAGGAGGCATCAAATTCCCCCACCTATGATGCCTCGAAAAGCCATTTCAGCACAGCTCCGAGTGGTTTAAGTTTGAAAGATGAAAAACCTTTTCAGACCACTGATGCTCAATGCGACCGCAACAGAAATGGGTTGAAGGAGGCCGCCGGTGAATCTACCAGAGTGGATGAAAGTAGGAGCAGAGTCATCTTCGATTTCACCGGTTTTGTCCCCGAAGAGCCCCTGGAGATTTTAGTCTTCGGCTCTCTCGCAGTGGCAATGCATTCCAATCCCGGAAAAAAGATTTGCCCCTCTAGCGACTTAAACAACTTCAGGGAAGAAAATAAAGCTGTTGGGGAAGTCAGTGAACTTGGAGCCAAATCAGGTAAAGTTTCTTCTGGCTTATCTGAAGTTTCCGTAGCCACAGCCAACAATGCCACTACTGAAGAAGGGCAGAAGCAAAGCTCAGACGACGTGTTCCATATGCGCGGTGTTCTCCACAACCTCAGATTGAGTGGAAAAGAAAACAGCGGCCTCACCTGGCAGAGGGTTCAAGATGTCAAAACAGTGGCCACTGGGGCTTCCTCAATGAAGGGATACCCACGTGCCCAAAGGCAAAAGGTTGTTGCTTGCAAAGAAGCACAACGTTCTGGAGCCTTCAAAGTTCTTGGGCTACCTCAGAAGACTTCTCACCACAAGTTGGGGCAGCCGCACTGCTTTGAAGAGAACAGAGAGAGAAGATCATCAGGAAGGCTGGATCATTCACCCAAATGGGTGAACGTTCAGCAATCCCGGGAGGAATTACCTCTCAGCAAGTTAAGTTTCTGTCGGCCACAATCTCAGGAAGCTGCTGTCCTCCGTAAGGGAAATCATTCTGAGGGAGGACCTACCCACGAATGGGGAAAGTCAACGGTCGGTTCTGCCTCTACCCGGCCATCACTCACGATCCCAACCCCTCTCCCGGTTCGTGAGGTCAAAGTCATCCACTCCCACGTTCAAAACAATAACAAATATAGCACCTTCACTGAGAAGAGTGTACCCGTCGGTCTCGTTGGTACCAGAAAGGAATTCCCAAGAGGGTTTTGCATGTCCGGCGAAGCAGAGCAGAGCTCGGTGAGGATCACTTCACAGGCGGCATTTCAGATCTTGAGCGCTTCTTACAAGTCCCAACTAGCATCAGAGCAGGCAGAGCTGGCAGGTGGGGGGCCGATCGCTGAGTTTGAGAAGCTCATGGCCGCCGTCTCTCCGGTTATCATCCCATCCGTTGATCTCGCTGGTCATCCTGACGCTTCACTGGCTCATGTCTGGAGCTGGTACGAAGAGCCTGGAGCGTACGGCTTGGGCGTGAGGGCAGAGCCTTCCCAAAATAGCAAGAATTGGGGCAGCGGTGGGTTCCCATTTCACGCTTATTTTGTCCCTTCCCTTTCAGCGGTTCAGCTGTTCTCCCACCCGCGAGATAATAACGTTGGAGTGAAGAAGACCCAAGAAGGGAGGCGTTGGCCTGATTCTTCTTATGCGGAAGATACCCTTCCCAGTTGCTGTGAAGTCGAAGCGCCGGATGACTCAGTGCTCCTGTTCGAATACTTCGAGCATGAGAGACCGGACCAGAGGAAGCCGTTCTGCGCCAAGTAAGAGCCTTTCTGTTCATCTCTCTCTCTCTCTCTCTCCTCCTCTCTCCCACCCGGCTGATTTTGAATCGTTACCTAGTCGTTGAAGACGGAAGCTTCATTCTCTCACCCCCCAACCTTCGTACAGAGTCAAGGAGCTCGCAGAAGGTGGCGTCCCCAACTACCAGACGTACGGGGGCCCATCAAAGCTGGAGCACATGAGTTTGCGCGACCTTCACCCTGCATCTTGGTAAGCAATTATCTCGATTTTCTTGGCCTATCTCTAAGTCAACTAGTTTCGACTTCTGGGCTCCAAGAAGTGATGATTGACGTCTTTAGGCCACAATTAGGTGGGTCATCCGAGTCTAGATTCCCAAATAAGTTAACAGCTCGGTCACTCACTAAAAATAGCATCTCGACTTCATGTGACAAACTGTATTTCTGAGTCAATTATCTCTGACTTCCGGGCTCGAAATGATGATTGGCATCTTTAGGGGACAACTAATCGGATATTCCAGGAGCAGACTATCACTGTAGAATCTGTTTCAGTTAGTTCTGACTCCGCCCAATGGTAGGTCACATGTTCTACCTAGTCAACGTTCATCCTTGGGGCTAAATATATATATCATTCATGGTTTCTCAGGTATTCGGTGGCATGGTATCCGATCTATCGGATTCCCCAAGGAGCCTTCCGCGCGTCGTTCTTGACCTACCACTCTCTGGGGCACGCGGCGCAGAGACGGAGAACGCCGCCGGGAGGCTCGCCGGTGGGCGGCGGCGGCGGCGGCGACGGCTGCATCGTCTCCCCCCCGCTGGGCATGGAGAGCTACAACGCGCAGGTACGACGACGACGACGAAGATTTCTCAGAGGTTTTTTTTCCCTCATTTATTTACAGAGGGGAGTTGGGCTGGATCGATGGGATCTTCTCCACAGGGCGAAGGCTGGCTTGAGCCCAGGGAGGGAGCCGCCAGCGGGGCCCTCGAGGGTCGGCTGGGCGCCATGGGAAGGGCGGCGTCGGTCTTCTCCCGAGGGACCGTCCGCAGGGGCCCCGCCCAGGTGAGGAACAACCACCCTGACTACGAATTCTTCCTCTCCCGGAAATAACAAGTAGAATAGAGAGAGATAGAAAGATTAGAGTGAGAGAGGGAGGGACATAGTTTGACTTCCCTTACTGGGTTTTGGGAACATCAGGGAGAGACAGAAACACAGAGCGAGAGAGAGAGAGAGAGAGAGGCAAACAGATAAACAGCAGGAAATGAGTAAGGGAGAGCTCGATAGAAAGAGAAAAAAAAGGGGGAAAGATAGAGTGAGAGAGAGAGAGAGAGGAAAGTTATGCATGATCAGGTCTTGGTGGCGGGCCTAACGAGGCCGAGGCCAGAGCCGCTGCCGAGGTGCTTGAAATCGGTGGCCTCGAGGCGGTCGTCGTGGCCGGAGAAGCCCGTGCCGCCCTTCTGAAGCGGCACGAGATGCCTCGCCTTGCACGCCCTGTTGCAGGCTAGGCACAGCCCGTCCGCGGCCACGAACTCCTCCGCGCACTTCTTGCAGAATACGTCCCCGCAGGTACTCACCGCCACCAGCGCGTGCGTGTTGGTCAGCGTCACCTTGCAGCTCGGGCAGATGTACTCGGTTCCCCCCTCGAGCCCCGTCAGGCGGATGGGGAACAATGACTTGAGCTTCAGCTTCTCTTTCCCCTCCGGGCACACGGTGGCCGTGCACGGCGCCTCCACCTTCGCCGCCGCCTCCGGCGTCGCCGACGGCAGCCAGAAAGCCTTCATGTTCCTCAGGGCCTCCTCCTCGTACGACGTCACCTTCACACTGTTCGCCCCCTGAAACCCTCCTCCGCCACCGCCGCTCTTCCCCTCCGCCGCCGCGCCGCCGCCGTCGTAGTGCGGCACCGCGCCATGGTTCTGCCGGTCGAAGGCGTCCAGCCTCCGCGCCTTCTGCTCCATCAGCTTCTCCTCCTCCTCCTCCCTCTCCTGCTTCTGCTGCGCCGCGTAGGCCGCCAGCCTCCTGCTCCCATCCACCCATCAATTTACTATAGAGAGAGAAAGAGGAACACATAGAGAGAGAAAGGGAGGATTTTGGGGAGAAGTTACCGGTTGATGTCCTTTTTCTGGGAGAGGAGGCATTCGAGGATGCACTCCTTGCAGAAGAGGTGGCCCTTGGGGCAGCAGAGGGGGGAGACGAAGGGCTTGAGGCAGAGGCTGCAGACGTCGAAGGGCTTGATAGAGTCCTTGCCCAGCCGCTCCCGCTGGGTCCCGTACCCGAGCTTCCGTTTCTCATCGTACGTGAAGAACGCGAGGTCGTTGTTGTTCTTCGAGTGGCGCTGCGGCATCTTTCCTCCTCCGATACGTAACCCTAACCCTAACCCTAACCCTAGCCCTGATCTCGGTGTTTTTTCCGGCCCCAATTCAGTTCCACCGATCTAAGGCGAGAAAGGAAGATGCCCGCGGCAGCGCAGCCGATGCAGAGCCCCCAGACGGCAGCGCGGGGAGAGCCGGGAGGAATCCCGCCGCCGGGTGGAGGGAGAGAGGGATCGCCGGCCGAAGCTTCGACCACTCGTCGACGACGAGGGATCGAGGCAGATGCTTCCGCGGGGATTTGGGGAGAAAGCCGGGGGCTGCGATTGGGAAGGAGGAAGCAAGGCGTTTGGGGGTGAGGTAGATTTGGGGTTCTCATATACTGGTCGAAATTTTACGTTAACACCCCAAAGCACTTCTACAGTTTCTATATTACGTCAAAGTTTTCTTAATAAACGCTTTCCCGCCTAGCCCGTTTTTTATCAACAGATTTTTGAAAAGTTTTTCCTCCGTCATGCCAAAATTCCTCACTATTTACATCAATTCCCCCCTTAAAACTATCCATCTTCCATTGACATTTCAAAACCCGACAGCCAAATAATTATCTTAGACAAATATCCCTCATTAAATTTCTTATATAGATTTCTTAAAGTAACTTCTACTGCCTTTGTTGGGCACAGTATCTAATTGTGCCTTATTAGGATATTCTTCTTTTTGCAGCCCCCAAAGTGGTTGGGCCTCTAGTTTCGGGTTCTTCTTTAATTTTAGGGTTTGGGCTTGATCATTTCCGCTAGTTGAAAAGAGCTTGTCCTTGAGTCTTCATTTGAGGCACCATAGTCTACACAATTGCTCACTTGATTTTTTTTATGTCAAAACTTGTTGCAAAGTTAGAGGTAAGGATCAAACAATAATTTATTCTACTTATTTTTAACTATTTAAACATCATGATATCTATAAGTAAATCATGGACTAGATTCTATTGTCTTAGGGTAGTAAGTCAAGAAGCATTATGCAAGCACTTAACTGCCTACCTTGACCTGTTCTAAGCTTCAAAACCTTCCATCTTCAATCAGCATTCTAATGTGAAGAGGACAACATAATCAAGCCACAAGCTTCATCATCTTCATCAAAATTTGAGATGTTATCAAAGATTTCATCTTCTAGAAATTGACCCACAATGAAATCTTTCATATTTCTAGTAGGATATATGTGAGATTAAATCTTCACCTAATCACCAATGGGAGATGTCCTATAACTTAGTTGTTAGTCTCCTAGAGTCGTGAATCTAGAAGAGAATTATAGATAAAATTTTAGGTGAGCTAAACCCAATAATCAACAGTTGTGATCAAACACTCAATCTTAGTGGAACCCAAGAACAAAGATTGTTCTTGGAGAGTAGACATAGATAAAAGGTAGAACTACTAAAAAACTTTCCTAGTCTCATAGCTACACATTTGAAGAATTAGAGAACCAAATATTAGGAGATCATATGTTTGATCATGAGTTGATCAAATTAGAAATTCACTTAATTCAACCCCTCCTTTTTTATCTTAGTGAGGCCTTTATTCACATTTGTTGAATTTATTGAATACTTGAATTATATGAATACAAAAATAAAAAATTAATATTATATAATTATTTATCAATACATTTTCGTTCTTAATTATCAAAACTAAGGTCATCATAGTGTCTAACACAACATTGTAGTGCATGAAAGCAAGATTCGTGCTTGAATTCACAAAGCAAAAACGTTGAGAAAGAAACTAGGTGTTAAATCAATAGAACTAGAGCCTTCAATCCTATAATCCTGAACAACTTGTAATCCACAAGATCCACAAGTTCAAAATGGGACTCTTGTGAATCCAAAAATGAGTACTTAAATCCACATACGAGAGAAAAATTCATAATACTTTAATTTTCCCTCTGAGGCTACCATGATCACCTTTGTATAGGCTACAAAAGGAGGTAGGATGCTCTCAAAAATGGGATCTTGAACATATCCTACAACAAATTCGAATTGACTCTACAATGACATGAAATAGAGTGTGATAGACTCTAAAACTACCTAAATAGACTCTAAACAACATTTAAAACACCTTCTAGAACAATAGAGATAAAACGTAACTTCATTTAAGGTAGAATTTCATAAAGTAACTTTTTGTACTTTAATATGCCCAATTAGCCTTTGGGCCATCTTTTAGCAATCTCCTCTTTACTACACAATTCCAAAGTAGTTGGGCATCTAGTTTCAAAGTCCTCTTCAATGACTATGTGATGTGCTACAAGAATCTCCTTTCTCATGAAAAAATGTCCAGCTTGGTTTTTTTTTTCTAGAGTTCAATCGCATAATTACCTAAAACCTAACTTTGAAACAGCTACAAGTAGGAAAAACACTTAATGAAATCATACATTTAAAAAGAAAATGAAAGACACCTCATTTTTCAAGAAAAAGTCATAGCTTGACCTTTTTCCTAAGAATTGAATATCATATTTATCAAAAATATAACTATAATCGAGATAGATGCGAAAATGTATTGAACTAAATCATGATTCAACTAGAAAGAGAAACCTACATAATCTTGGTCTTTTTTAAGCATAAAATATGATAATTATCTAAAAAATTAATCAACTCTATGTGAAATCATATTGAATGATATATTTAAGTAGAGTAAGAGAGCATGGTCTCATTTTTCTTGAAAGAAAAGCCCAACTTGGTCATTATTTAGAGATGAATATTTTAAAATATGTTAAAAAGTAACTTCAAATTAGCTATATGAAAAAAATATGTTAAATTAAATTATGCATTTAAACAAAGAAATATAGTCTAACCTTATTGTCCTAGGAAAATTAGCTTCTTCTATTTTAACCAAAAATTAAAAAAACCCTAAACCATAAGTCCTTAAACCTTTAATCCTTTTAAATCCTAAACCCTAAACTCTCACCACCTAAACCCTAATTTGTAACTCCTACAATATAAACTCTAAAACATAAGCCTTAATCGTAAATCTTAAAGCCATGTTCTGATTGTGCTGATAGATGCCATTATAAGTTAAATTATCTACACCTAAATCAGTCCCTTTTTTCTAGACAAGGGCAAATACAAGCAGCTTATAGATATCCCAAACCCACACATGAACTATGCTCAAGTACCTCCAACTTTGGGTGGAGAAATAACACTAACTTCTCTTGAAAAAATCCGTAGAATTAGAGGCAAGCACCACAACTTCACTCTTGATGTGTACTTGTTATGTTTAACTACTCATTATTTAATAATATTTATAACTAAAATGTAATAAAATATTAGTATAGAAGTAAGTCTCAAGTCGAACACAAGTAAATTAGTTAGTCTGCCATGAAAACTAATTTAGTTTATATATATAATGATTTTAATATTTTATTATTTTTTAACAAAAATAATACAATAGATGGGTGAGGTGAGAAGAATAAAGAAAAGGAAGTAGAGAAAGGGAGGAAAAGAGAGAGAGATGAGAGCTCTCATGAAGGACAAAAGAAGAGATCTCTCGTGAAAGAGAGAGGAGGAGAGAGGAAGAGAGAGAAATCTCACATGAGACAAAGAGAGAGAGAGGTCTCACAAGAGAGAAAAGGAGAGAGAAGGAGAGAGAGGGAGAGAGAGGGAGATTGATCAATGGAAAGAAAGAGGAGGATCGTCAATCAATCAAGAGAGTGATCTCAAGAGAGTCAGAGAGAGAAGTGGTCTCATAAGAGAAGGAAAGAAAGAAATAAGACGATAATAAAGAAAGAGAGAAATACGATCAACTCATTTTCACGATAACCATTATTCTT